GTGATGTAACCTTTAAATAAAAGAAAACTCACTTATCTTTCCTAAAGAGTCTTTGGGCTTCCTAGGGAAGCTTAAGGTAGTTATAGCTACCAAGGGGTAGAATAGTTTTCCTTAACACACTTTAAAACTATTTTCTGGAAAAATGTTAAGTAGTAGATAAAAAGGTTATAGTGAAATAAACTTGACGAGTCTTACACTGACACTTACCTTAAGGTACGACAATGTCTAACCCAATATTTCGCTACTGAAGAACTTTACGAAACGCACTACAGAAATAACACTATAAAAGAAACACTTAACCTAACAGTCCAAAACTATATACACCAATAAAACGAAATTAACAGGAACAGTAACTACAAAATAACATAATTAATGAACAAACTAACAGAAACTTATTATGAAATAGAACAATTAACACAAAAACACTATAAATAATTAGAAAATACGTAATCAAAAGCTATAAGCAATTACACTATAGACCTCGCAAAATAGATATATGCCTTCAAAATCATTAAAATTTTATAATGAAAATTGCCCATAATCTGAGAATCACCCATATAATTGTATTATATATTTTTATTAAAGTTTAGAGATGTTTCGCCTATATAAATTTTATGCATTGTTAATTATTAATTTTATAAAAACATTTGTCTATTTCTATTTTTTATTATCCTAAATATTTGTTTGTATCTATTTAATTAATAATTATTAAGGTGTGGTTAGACCTTTCGCAAACTATGTGTAAAAGAAATATCTAATTGGTTGTTTTTCTATGCTAGTATTTTTTTTTCTTGTTATTGATGTTTTCCATCTGCTATCGGTAATAAAGCCCACCTTACGTGGTCAATATTATTGAAGAAATATTATCGAAAGTGGTACTCCAGTATTACAAATGACAGTGTAACTGTTATTATATATTCCTCAGACGGTCAATATATTCGATAATGACTCAGTAATATGGATCGTGCAAAGGGCCCCCTAACAAAAGAAATTTTTAAAAAATTGCGGCATTGGCTTGGCGCTAATGCCGCAGTTAGTGTTTGATAATTGCGTTTGTCCTAATATGCGAAATGTCTAAACGCACTTCTATACATTCATAATTTTATGTTATTAGGTGTTGCCAATATTTTCAAATGTTTCATTAGTTATTCTAGGAACGTATTCTCATTAATTATATTAATTATATTAATTATATTAATAAATAAAAATCAACTATTTATTCTTGTGAATTAAAAATTTTGACTTATTATTGGTTAACTTTTATTTTTATATCGTTTATTTATCAGTTAATCTTTTGAAATTATTCATAATTAAGACATATCAAATACATTTATTACTTGAGGTCTTGGAAAGTTTAAATCAATATTCGAAAGTGATGTCCATGTCAAAATATCTTATAATCTAGTATCTGGATAATTTTATTGTGCATTTAAATGATTTATGGATATTATTTTGTAAATCTAATAACTCTTTATATTAATTATATTTTATTTTAATAAATAAATTATCTATTTACCTAATAGTTTTTATTGATTTTCAGTCCAGTATTTTAATTTTATCTGCAATTATTTGATTCAGAAAGTAATCACTTAATTCTAAAAATAATCTTCCTGTCACATTTATACTCATGTGCATTTGTTCATATGTATATTCTACTAAATTTAAAATATTTAAATTATTTATTGCATATAACTTTAATCCTTCGACATCTTTAAATTTATTGTTAATTATAACAACATTTTAAAAATTAAAACTTATTATGTCATAATATGATTTGTATATGTATTTATATTTGAAATATTTTAATGTCAATTAAAATATTGTTTACGCGTACATTACACTTTGATATCAATAATTTACCATTTCAAGGTAAATAAATTATTAGTGAGTCTATTTATATAATTCATAATTGATTATTCATTCATTTTTGGGACAGGTAATTTAATCACACCATGTATTTAAGCTCTTATTTATTGGCAGACAATTTTACATAAATAAATTGATCTATATTGCATATGTCTGTTCTATTATTTTTAATAATGAACCTTTTTAATTAAGAATGAGAAAGAAAACTTTTAACCTTACTCAAAATTTGAGATTTTACTATTCAAGATTCTGGATATATTGTTAGTTTGCCATAATACGAACATTCAATTTAATTCTACCATTCATATTTAAAATGAACAAAAAAAGAAGATTAACTTTACTGTGTAACTAAAAACAGGGAACATTATTACTTAAAAAATTATCCGATTTGATGTTTTAAAGTGAGTTCAGAACAGTGAGTGATAAGACTGAATATGCAGTTAAACGTTCTCCCTCACTGCTTGATGTCCGTGCGTACTGATGCAACTTTCTGGATAGACGCCCTTATAATTTGGTTTTCAAAGAAAAATATTTCAATTTCTAATACATGTATGTTGGATTATCATTAACAATGAAAGACAATTTTATTTTATCGTAAATTTGTATGTTTTTTACATCACTTTAACCAAACATATTAAAATATAATAATGATACCCACACAATGTAAAACGTTACGGTCAAAACTATATTTGTTTATTTGTATAATAACATTTCGGACTTTTCATCGTTTCTCGTTCTTTTGGCAAAGAATACAAATTAAAATTATATCAAATTCTTACTTTTCTGGACACAAGTTTTTTGGACACGAATTAATATAAAAATGCATTATTCTAATTATTTACACAATTCATTTTTCACAGAAATGATTGTGAGCCCTCTTTTGCTGGAATGGGAAAATTAAGTGTTTGGATCTAAATACTGTATAAACTCTTGAGCGGCTTAACTACTTAAAATTAGTAAGTATTCAGGCAAAAAACTCCTTGTTTTTTAGTATAAATAGAAATTATTTGTTTTATACAATTTACTTTTCAATTAAAATAATAATAAAAGTGTTAGTTGTTTAGTTACTTTTTCAAGACAACATTTTCTCACCATCAAGAAAGGGTGGGGGAGCGCCCTCCGCGTTCCCCCCCCCCCTCCTGGATCCGCTAGTGACATGGCCAAGCCAATATTAAAACAATACGACGACTGCTAATACAACTTCTCCTTCCAGAAAATTGTTGATAATCAACATGAGTTGGTGATGACTGAGGCCCCCCTAGAATCTTATCGGGTCTCTGCGGGAGTATCATTATTATTAGTCCTCACCTACATAGGTATAAATAAGTTTTTGGAAGCTGATAGTTACCACTGGTATTAGTTTGTTTAGTGGTAGATCATTACGTCTGCGACTCACCCAATCCTGGAGAACCAGGGGTTTGGATTCTAAGTTTCCGTTAATGAAAGGGGCAACTTTTTACAGTATTTGAGCCTTTAAATCCGACTTGAGCCACTGCAGTGGCTCTTCTCTGATTCTCGGTTCGACATCACTGGTGGAGGTGCCTACTCTATTGGAGATTATTCCATGATTGAAGATTGTTGTGTACGTAATCTATCCTCAAAAATTGAATCACCAAATTATTTATTACCAAGGAGGATTTTATTAATAAGGAGGATGCTTCCGACCTGATGCCCCCTATCTTTTCCTCCAAAATAGAAAAAATATATTTTTTTCAGAGGCCGATATTTGTTTCCGTGAGTGAACTGAGCTAAATATTTAATCACAATGTGTATTCTTTAATATTGTGTACTATTTGTAAATTTCTTACATACATACAGCTACCAAATATAAACACGTCTCAAGAAAAACATGTCCGTTAAAGCTATACTGTTCCTATGCCTATTTTATTTAATTTATTTTTTTTATACAGGCCTTTAAGGACTGCTTAAAAATCATTTTATATAGTTCTCTCTTTTTCGTCCAGAGCACCGTTATAATTAAAATATAGGTAAAAATCCTCTTTCCTCCAAAATTAAATCCTGGATCCACTGTTGACAAGGCATAAGGAAATTTGGTATCAGACTATAGTGAAATCGATAGTTTTTATTGCAGAATAAATTCTTAATTTAAAATTATTTTAGAATTAATGATATTAATTTCATTATTTGTGAATTATTAAGTATAAATTAATTCTATTATGAATTATGTATACAATTATTAAATACTTAAAATAAGATTTCGCCCACATTTTATAAAATTAATTTTTGTATTAATTTACTCGTCGGTGTTATAAAATACAATTTACATTTGATCCCTGAAATGGGTCCATAATACGTTTTTATTCCATTTAATAATATTATTTATTTAATACCCTAATGGATTTATTCCTACCTTTATAACTTGATAGCTGGCAGGGGCAGATAATTCGCAAGTTTACCAGCCAATGAATAATATAGTTAATATATTACGAGAAGAATTAATATTTTTCTTTTTTGTTGGTCGATTACAAACATTCATTATTGAAAATAATAAACGAGAATTTGTGTACGAATTACAATAGGCTATATTTTTGCTAATAGTCCATTTGCGATAATTTTTTTTTGTTTTGTAAGGAATTTAAAAACATTTAAAATTAACATGGGTAATGTAATGTAAAAATCATAAATAATTAACCTTTTGAGTATTGCGCAAATAATGTTTCATACAAACAATCTTTTCTTTTCTACCATTTTTCCTTTTCTTTTCCGGGAAATAAACTTACTTTTCAGTAGAGATGGGCAAATGCTGCTCAGTGTACCGAGTACCAACTATTTTACTCAAATTGAATCACTATTAAGAATTCAATCACTCCTTCAGTTAATCTTGGGACTTCAACTTCAATAGTAATTAAATTATTTGTACTCAAAAAAGGCCAATATTTGAGTAAAATATTTGGTACTCAGTACTCAGAGTAGCATTTTCCCACCTCTGCTTTTCAGCACTGAATATGATGCGAAATAATCGCTTTATAATTGGATTTGAAGAAGAATTAACGAAAATATGCCGTACCCACAAAAAATAAACAAAATAAATATATCTTTGAGAAATAATATAGAAAGATTAGCACTTATAGAATTTTTCAAATCCTCTTGTTCCCGCCACAAACAGCTGATCAGGTCAATGTAGCCTTTAAGTGTTTCTGTTACCCTTCAAAGGGGGTTGTTTTTATTATGTTATAAACAATTTCGGAACTATGGAAGGAAATATAGGTTTTGAAAGTTTGTGTAGGATATGTACTAACAAATCTGAAGGCATCTCAATATTTAGTAAAGAAGGAAAAGAAATAGATTTAGAAGAAAAGATCAAAAAATTTCTCTATATAACAGTGAGTTTTTTGACATTTTTAATGATTATAAATGTTTAGAATGACACTTTTGTTAAAACATTATTTATTATAGTTTTTTTTCTATCTTAGACATTATTATTGAATGTGAATTATTATTTTAAGGAATTTTAAATGTTTGTTTATGTTGAAAGTGTTTGTAAGAATGTATTTTTTATCCTTAATGTTCTAAATTGAGTCTTTTATGGCTTTAATATTTTATTAAGCTAGAAAAGAATTAAAATAATTAATTGACTGATTTTTTAAGTTTCATTGCTGTTTTATATCAGTTACAGAGAACGATTCAGAAAATTTCGTATAGTTTTTAATTGTTGTAGCATTAATTTATATGATAAATGTAACTTTGCTTTAAATTATCTTGTGTACTTTTGATTTCCATGTCCATTTTTTAGAAAGATTTAAATAGATTTTTGTTATAAGGTATCGGAAGAAGATGTCCTTCCCAAAACAGTTTGTACAATGTGTACTAGTAAACTGGACAGTATTCATGAATTTGCTAGAATGGCATCCCTCACTCAAATTAAGCTGGTGGAAATGATGGGTTCTGGTGAGTCACCTCCTTCCCCTCCTGAGGATGAAGGTACAGACGATTCAGTAAAAGGCAGTCTATTACATTCAATCCTTACAAAGGTACGAAATGCTACAGTATGTCCTTAAAATTTTAGTGATTTATGCTGAGGCCCTTGTTGGTATTTTATAAGTATAGTAATATTTCATTTGAAATGTGTCAAAGATAACTTTGTTTACAGCTCATGCATTCGATTCCACCTTCACTTTTATTTTCATTTTTCCAGAATCAATTCAGAATTCCGAGGTTCGGTAAATTGGTGTTAAAAGCATTGTGGTAATTCAATTTAATCCTTTTTACTTTCACTTACCTATATATGTAATACACAATAAGGGAAAGTATTGCGATCATGAACATTTTTTAATTGAGTTTTCAACGTAAATACATGTTTCGAGGTTTCCTGAATCCAAATAACCAAGTCCCGCAAAATGATCTGTGTATGTGTACATAGCTCAAAAATGGAAAGCCGTACAAAACATAAGTTCCGTATTTAAAGTATATGGTATAAGGCTGAGATGATCCAGCAACTTTTTCATTAAAATTGGATAACCATAAGTACCCCTTATATCATCGATTTTAGACATTTTTACGATTTTCTCAAAAATAGCTCTTATGATTTTGATTAAATTCATTACATCTGTGTAAAATTTCAGTTTTTTAATATAACGTAGGTCTCATTCTCATTGATGTTCTCTAACAGGGTTTAAATGCCTAATTTTCAAAATTTCTTCCTCTAAAGTTCCTTTAATTTAAAATAATCATAAATATATATTTAAAAATAATAATCATTTCACATTGGAACCTGATATAAAAAAACTGGTGCAGTGTCCGCATCACACAACTTTTACTTACCACTCACTTATTAGCAGAAATAAGTATTTTGAGACAAAGTGAAAGTGATAGTAAACATTATTGATTTATATTTCATTGTGGGTATTTTTATTTTTATAAGAACACTCATGTATACAAATTTTAATATTTATATCGCTTTAATCTATACAATTGAATATTAAATAATACCAACCATAGCTTTTATGAAAACCGTAAATGTATATTTACATAATATTGTCGAAGTAGTTATTATATTTTGCAGTGCTGGGCTTAAGCATTCATTGTCCACCGGGCAATGAAGTTATCTTCCCCTTCCCTTCTAAAAAAATTAAATTTATTTCTTAAGCTGTTTTATATTATGTAATATATATATATATATATATATATATATATATATATATATATAACTGATAAGTGGTACTCATGTCGGACTAAAAATATTTTGAGACACTGAATTATTTATTATAATACAATAAATAATTAAAATATACAATCGTTAAAGACAATGATTTGCGGGGAAAAAACATAAGAATGTTACATTAGACAGATGTGAAAAACATACGGCAATTGATTGTTTCAAAAATTATTTGGTACTGTTAATGATTTTTATTTTCTCTTCCCCATATCTGAAAATACCTATTTCTCTTAAAAGAAGGGAAGTAACCGGAAGTTAGATGATGTGTAGACTGTAACACATTTTTATGTCACTAATGAGCAATTCATTATTTTCTTTGATGTGATATTATTCATCAGCTGATACTCATTTTATTTAAAATGAGCTTGCTCTTATTTGTTGAGAATTTATCCTTATGGAATGTTATTTTGTTAATAGGTGTAATTAAGTTGGCTATTAAAAATCATTTTTTCATACAAATTCTGTTATTTATAAAATAAATAGTCAACATATTAAAACATTTGGGTCATTCCATGGAAAATATCAAATTCTTTTCTCAGGTTGTTTTTGAAGTACCCTTTATTCCATTACTCTCATTAAAAGAAATAATGATGTTCCAATCAGTATCAATAATTAGCTATAAAACATGAAAAATATCTCACATTTTGCTGCGCCACTCTATGATTTTATCCCTGCAGAAGCTTTCATAGCATTCTAATTAGGTTCTCAATACCCATGAAAATTTATATTCCATTAAAATATTTTCCTCCTGTAGATTCATCTTTTGCAAACGTCCTCTCAGTAAAAACTACAGTACACTATATCATTGCCCCATAGGTCTAATTTCTTTCCTTGGTATTTTTCAAGCCTCTCTCTAAAACAGTAAAAATATTATAGGAAAAACTATACTACAGATATAATTCAGTAGTATAGATCAATTTTTAGGCTCTCAGGAGCAATAGATTTTGACAAAGATGCCGAAAAGAAGGAAATTTCTATAGAAGTGACAAATCCCAATCTAGATCCTTACATTAATAAAACTACTATAGTAAAAGTTATTTAAAAAATTGAGTAGTAGTTGGCAGATTTAAATAGGACGTGGAGTTTTTAGATAGACTTCAAGATCCGGTTGGTTTGGGTGTTCTCTATGGGGATCTGTCTGCATTTTAAGTTCTTGATATTTACTAATTTTGAGATAAAGCATGGGGTCATAGGTGAAGACTTTCCATTTTGATTAGAGGGGGATAAAAAAAAAAAAAATGGCGGTAGTTTGTTTTATGTGTACCTATTCAACATAATTGTTGTGAAATGAACCAATATAATATTGGATATTTAAAAATAAATTTATATATATAAGTTTAAACAGTTGTAGGATTTTTTTTTTAAATGTGCGTTTGGATATACTTGAAATTATCTGAATAAAACAATTAGATACAATTTGTGTAAATTAAGCATGAGAGGAAGGTGGACAGGCTCCATAAAATAGCTACATTTCTAGAACTTTTTCAGATAATATATAATTAATCAATATATATATATATAATTGATCAGTTACTGATGGCTGAGTGTGGGGAACAGGAAAAGAACGTAGGAGTTCTTGTAGGCCACCTTTCTTCTCAATTTTGTGATCAAATTATCTTACGATCAAAGTAGAAAGAAAATGTGTATTTACAAGTTTTTCATACCTAATTAAACAGACAAAGTTTGTCCCCCTTCCAGATTGAAAACGCCCTAATTCCAAGAGTTTTCTTAAATAAAATAGTTGTAGGTTATGATGAGATGACTAGTGCGGCAAAAGATTTCATTCACTTCTTATTTTTATTTTTTTTTTAGGAGAAAAATGAACCTGATGTGACTGAACTTGAAGTTACTGTGGACCCAATGTTATTTTTAGCTGACCAAGAAGATGAAGAATTTGAGAAAAACTCTCCAGAACCTGACAGCTCATCACGGTCTGAATCCAATTCTGAGTAAGTTTTCTTAGATCAATTTAACATATTAAAGTAAACTTGTTAATTATAATTAACTAATTAGTTATATTTAATTTTAGAGAAGACAATGCAAGTACTCAATTAATTGAAGGAAAGCCTTATCAGTGCACAGTTTGTCCGAGAGGATTTAACTCAGACCTTAGCCTTAAGAATCATCTCTGGGGTCATTTATCAATGAGGAAAATCCTTGCTTCATCAGATCTCAATCTAAACAGGTAATTTATATTGTTCAACAATTTAGAAATTTCTTAATTGGAAGCAGTTAACACAGCAATGAGTAGATATGTGTCATGTTGAAGAGTCTAGTCACAAAAATATAGTTTTCTAATATTTTTACAATTGAAGTATTGAATGCTTGAACAATATTTATGGCTCCTTTTCATTTATTTTCTAAGATTCTATTGAAGTGTAATAGGTGGTATTTTCTGGGATCTCTGATTCTAATTTCTTGTTGAAATACATTATAATATAGCAGTTCATGAATCTCCCTGCCATATTCCATTATATCTTTACATCACACTCTTATTTTATCAGCTTTTTAAGCTTGTAGTCAACATGGTGAATACAAGCAGCTGCTACATTCATATCATAGGCATGTGTTTTTTTTCCTTAGTGGATAATTACCTGATTCATGGGGTCACCTATCCAAGTACTAATCATACTTGATGTTGCTTAAAGTTGATTACCTATTGAAAGCAACATGGTCTGCTTGTATACCATGGGTCTCCTTAAAATATATCTGTGTAATAATTGAGTTGTTTAAAACAAATGATTTTAATATAAAGTTTGTTTTCAGTTAAGTATGGTCGTTTACTTATACCTACAGACTATATACCAATTGACTGTATACTCAAACATCCTCTATAATCCAGACTTTGCATGTATTTTAACACTATTCCTCTCTCCTTCCTCCTTCCTCTGCAGTAATTAATTTATATTTCAGGGTTAAGTGCCCAATCTGCAAAAATGAACTAAGGACCTCAAAACAAGAAAAAAATTTCTCTGAAGGTATATCCACAAACGCTTTGTTTAGGAGATATTCACACTTAAAGATTTTTGTTGTTATGAATTATTTATGTTATATAAAATAAATGAAACATATTTATTTGTTCTAACTACTTTATTAATTAAATTTAATCATTAATGTTTTTAAATGTTGTTCAAAGTGAAGGTATGTCCGCAAACGCTTTGTTTAGAAGATAGATTATATAGAATACTAATATGGCCTTTTATCCCTAACTGTATAAAAACTATTGGCAACATAAGGATTAATACTATTTGGAATTAGCATTGGGAATTCTCAATAACATTTATCAGTTTGTAAGAGGCTTTTGCAGACTACTCATCATTGTGCCTTCCATTTATACTCATGGTGAATATGTTGATTTGTTATTTGTAAATGGTGTTTGCAATGGTAATGCTAATGTGCCCGTCGTGAATATGCCAGGCGATTTCCGAATAGAAGATTACCAAACAAGTCTATCTTTAGCTCCACGTTTCAACGTCTTAGAGAAACTGGTACATTTCTATAATACCAGTGCTGATGGTATTTTTGCCCTTTACGAAATTAAGAAAGGAGTGCGACACATATTACAATATTTTGATGATAATCCATCTAGCAGTGTATGAAGAGCTGGAGCAGAATTAAATATTATGCCAACTACAGTATGGAGAACTCTCATTGCAGATGGACTTCACCCATATCATTATCAACGGGTACAAAATTTATCACCACAAGATTTTCGACAAAGAAGAAATTTTTCATATTTGGTACTTAAATCAAGTTGAGCATAATCCACAATTTTCAGGAAAAATTCTCTGGACAGATGAAGCTACCTTTACAAGAAGAGGTATCTTCAATCAGAAAAATAATCATCTCTGGTCGCAGGAAAATTCGAGAGCATCATTTTCAGTACCAGTTTCAGTGCAATGTGTGGTTGGGGATAATAGACAATATTTTAATAGGTCCGCATTTCTTGCCGCCTCGACTCAATGCGGGCACATTTCTGGAATTTCTTAATAATGATTACTATGATTTAGTTGAACATATTCCACATTCATATTCCACTACAACTGAGAAGGGTCATGTGGCTTCAATTAGATGATTGTCCTGCACATTACTGAAAAGGTTCATGATAATGGCTAAATGTTAATTATCCCAATCAATGGATTGGCCGTACAGAACCAGTGGCTTGGCCTGCACGCTCTTCAGACCTGACACCACTGGATTTTTTTGTTTGGGGTGACATTAAACAAAAAGTCTATGCAAGTCCGGTCAATGACCTTAATTCCTTAAGAAGAAGGATAATTGAATCTTCTGAAACAATAAAACATATCCAGTGTCGTTCTGCCACTGCTGCTGTTGGAGAAAAATGGTGAGCCTGTCTTAATGTTCAAGGAAATCACTTTGAATAGCATTTAATATGAATTTACTGTTTACATTTAATTAATAAAGTTGTTGGAACAAATAAATAAGTTTTATTTACTTAATATAATGTAAATAATTCATAACAATGAAAATCTTTAGGTGTGAATATCTCCTAAACAAAGCGTTTGCGGACATACCTTCATAGGAATTTTTTTTCTTGTTTTGAGACCCTTAATTCATATTTTCATTCTGCCCACTTAACTCTGAAACACCCTGTATATTCAAATAAAGAGGGGAAAAAAATCACCTCACTGTATACTATTTTCTATTGTTCAGTACTTCCTTGTAACATTTTTCTACAGTCTAATATATAATAAACTATATTTTTACTCATTTTGCATGATTATTTCATTTTCCTTTACAAGGTTTTTCAATTTGGACTAGAACTCTTGCAATTATAGCTAAACACTAAATTAACTTATATATTTCATATGCCTAACTTGCTGATCAGTTAGGACAAAATGGCAGTTATAAAAACCTTTTGGTTGTTTAATTTTAATGATGGATTATTTTATATCTGAAGAACACCATTTAGTAGTTGTAGGTGACATTCAGTATATAAGATGTATAAACTCTTGGTTGTAGGTTTCATGTTGAAACTAAACATCGTGTTTACAGCACCCAGTGCTTGTGTACAGTTTGTGGGAGAGTATACCCTACCAGGAGTACTTTGCGGGCTCATCAAATCACACACTCCAACCTCAGACCACATAAATGCTCCCTCTGTGAAAAGACTTTCAAAAGGAATCAAGACCTTAAAGTAAGAAAATTTTACCATTTATATATTTATGATTTATAAAACCTCATGCTGGATAGCAATTATTCGGAAGAAAATGATTTATTTAAATTTAATATAAAGAGTCTGTCTTCCTGTATGTAATTTTATTATTTTTCCCCAACTGGTTTTGGTCATTAGACCTTCTGGCTTAATAAAGACAAAAAATAACTTTAAGTCCGTATTTAATTATTTTATTATGTAATAAAATAATTCTAATGAACAAAGAAGTGACATTTGTTTGGCATTAGAAGAAAATCACAAAATAATTAAGTTACTTACTTATCAAATCCTAAAATTAAAATAAAGAAAAGCACCAGTAAACATAAGAAATTATAGAAAGTATATATGGGTGTGTTTACATACTTTAACTGATAAGCAATACAGATAATATATATATATCTGTAAGATCACAGTAAAATGAGGCTGACAGCTCTAAAATAAGAAAGAAATTTTCTTACCTACATTTGAAAGATTGATTGCTGATGGAACAAAAGATGGAAGAATAAATGGTGTTTAAATGTGGTTTAGGACAACATTTTACATAGGGAGGCAGGTAAGAAATTCTAAAATAAGGTAGCAAGCATGACAAAGGATTTTTTAAAGGAATCAACAAGTTTGTGGCCTGGAGTGGGTGGGGTGGCCGAATGGGCTAACGCACAGCAACCTGATATATGATACAAATGATAAAAATATTCACGAGTTTGCATTAAAAAAAATAAAATATTTGTGGCCTGGGAGAGGTGAATGAGGTGGCCGAGCTAAGTGGGTTAATACATGTGCACAGCACCGCGCGTTGCCCAGCAACTCTGATCAAAGATAATTAGATAAAATGAGAGGGGAAACAAGGTTCATGGTTTTGTTACTCAGAAACATAATCATGGATGTTTTTAAGGAGATAGGCAAATCTCTATATACAATGAATATATAACAGGTTTCTTATAATCTGAAAACTAATACTTCTGGCAGTTTATTAAATAAATGATGTGTGTTGAAATTGAAATTTGATGTAATAACAGAAATATATTTTTACACGCTTGAAAATGGCTCTAAATAACTGATACATGTGGAAAATAAAATATTATTAATACAGTTGTTATGACTATTGATCTAAAATTTATTTAAATAATAAAAAATAGCATGGCAGTGAAGATAATGAACATGACATCAATATTAATAGATAAATAGGTAAAATACTGTATTTTGTATAGAACACTTACAGGAGGTCTGGCTGGCTGTTGTATATTTAATACAGCACCAACTCATTACTAATATTATTCATTAAAAATATACCACATATTAAAAGTAATAAAGAAGATGCAGACCACATTTAAACTATAACTCCAATAGCCTTGCTGATAATATATACAACAACAATACCATACAGTAATAATAGATAATAATATGTTTACATTACTGGCATAATATAATCAGATTTCAAGATGATCTCTAGCCCAGAAGCTTACAGGGAATTCCTCTATGCAAATTCACACTCATGATGTATTACAAACGATAATAGACTAAAGCTCCCTATTCATACAAAATAAAGGACCTAAATTTGAGAGCCTCTCCAATAAACCGAAAGAGTTTGAATATTAAATCCGTATTAGATGATGAAAGTAAGAGTGCCAGTCTACTCTTATCATTCGCTATTTTAATGTCCTGAAGAAAATCAATCCGGGTAGACTTGTACATCGGACATTTGACAAGGATATGAACAAGCGTTTCAGGTTTTTTCAAGTTGCATATGAGGCAATCCAACTCAGTGTTTATTACATATAAGACATCCTTAAGATAAAAGTGTAACTCGTACTTCCCAGCTAGTTTGAGCTGCTTGAAAGCCCTCTTAGATAACGGTTCATTGGGTTGTACCCACAACGAAGTCCACATCTACAGAAATGAAGTGATTGTTCCATCTTTCCAGGATATCATTTTTATTGTTTAGCAACCAACTGTTGTTAGCATATCCAATACTGTTCATAATTCTGTAGAGAAGGCCAAACCACGAATCGTGGTGATTCTCTGGATGAAATCCGGTTCCATTTAAAATCCTCCTACAACATTTAATATGCAGTTCTTCCGGCTCCATTGATTGCAGAGTGATTCACCAATTCAGCGTTTTTTCTATATTGCTACTCTGAAATTTGGAGAGATTGCAAATTCCATTCTCACGAAGTGGTTTAGCGTTGTGCGAGGTAAATAGAATAAGTTTTTAAAGAACTTGATATAATGTCCCTCCAGCTTCTCAAGATGATTCAGAGCCCCTGAGATGTGAAGCGCACTAGCGGCAGCAATGGATTCGAAAAGTCTTAGCGAAGCATCTCATGACCTCACTTTTCATGGCATGAATATTATTTGAATCTTTTATGTATTCGTTTTATCCTGGTATAATGAGTAGCTTTGCATAATTGATTTTTAATTTTTCAATTTATTTATATCTTATTTTCAATCAAATAATTTTTTTCCCTACTATTTTGGTACCGATTAATTTTATTTTAAATGCCATTGTTTTGGATGTAGAAAAATATTCTGATTGAATTAAATGCTTTAATTGTTTTTTAATAGTAAAAACTTTAAAATTAAAAAAAAAAATAAATAAAGCTTAGGTGGAGTCTTTTCCTCACATCCCTGTGCACAGTCCCTATGCCACCAGGAGCCGATTTTTTACACTGTTACCAAAGAAACAATCAGGAACTGTCTTATACGTGTGATTATTTGTGACATATAGACTCAACAAAGAAAAAATTAGAAAAACACTAAGTATTGTTTTATTGCCTAATTGAAATAAATCAAGCTAAAAAATACATGGCAAAACTATAAATCTCTAGTTTTCCTTAAATGGTCCCACGGTGCTTCAGATGTTGAAATAAACAAGTAGGATTTAACATTTTGTTATATGTATTGCATATTATAAACATTCATTGTCCGTTAATGAAGGTTATTTTTATTCTTTTATGATTTTTTCCAGTTTCATATAAATCAACATACCGGAGAAAGGCCTTACAGATGCCCGTATTGCCCAAAAGCATTTGCTTCCTCTGGAAACTGCTTTTCCCACCGCAAGAGGATGCATCCAAAACAACTTGCCAGGGATAAAAAAGCTGCAGCTCGCCAGTTTCATCTCTAGTCTTCTTATCCATGATGTCGTTAGTCTTATGGAGACTACTAGGACATCAATATTTTATAGGTTAGTATTTTAGATTTCTGTTCTAATTTTTATATCTTTTAATTTTGTGAATGTTAATAGTGAGATATACTGGGAATGATAAAAATATCAATGTTCATGTGGTTGTTAATTATTAAATATTTACATTTTAATATTGGAAATATAAAATAATTTATATTAAATGTCAAGTAGAGACAAGCATTAAGCATAATTGAAAATTTCTGTGCTTTTATTATGTTTTTATTTTCAACATGACTCTATAGAATCATGTTTTTTCTTAGAAAATAAAATATTCTGTTGTGTTATTCTGTATCAAGACTTGATATAAAAGATATTTGTCTAATCTTGTGACTCCTTTACAATAAGAAAAGTCATTCACATGTTGTTCAAATCAGTAAGTTAATAAGGTTGTTTACTGATATATAAACATTGAAAGAGAATATTTAACCATGAACCATAACTCATTTAACACATATTCGTCGGCATAAAGAAAATTTGCGAACAATCACGTATAGCCAAATGACGAAAATTTGTCATTTTTATATTGTAAAAAATCATTGATTCTTGTTCTTTTAATTCTAAATTGAGCTACTCAACCACTATTACTAGTGTCCTTGAATGCAGGAAATTGTAATATTACTCAATAAAGAAATGTTTTAATTCTAAAAAAATTAAATAAAGATATGCTAGCATTTTGGGAATTGCAGTGCAAGAAATTACTGGACGAATATGTGTTTAGATAGATGTAATTATTTAAATCATTTTTCTCATTTTTTTTTTATAAACTGACCTGTAAAATAATTACACCAATTAGTTGCTATATTCTGTTTCCATTGATCGAGGTTTGTACTGATGAAGCCATTGTCTTGTTTTTAAAATAAATTGCAATCTATGAAACTAAATACAAAAATCTCTAAAATGACATAATAACCTTTCATCTGTGATGATGGGTTGACCAGTGAAAATTATATGAGACCAAGTTTCCTTGAAATGATAGCTAAGGATATATAAGTTGTTCACCCTTGTAGTGTGATATGCAAACCAATTTAACACTTATTGGGGTTGCTAGATCAGACAAGTACAATACCACATTTTTTTGCCCAGCTTAAGCATTATTCATGTATCTCATTATACTTACAAATTCAATACTTCTAAATGCTGATAAATTTTGTTTCAAGAATCTTTAATGTAAGAAGAAACTTACATGAGTTTTGAGTCAAGTATGAACACCTTTAGCTCGTTCATGGTTTGATGGCATCCCAAGAGTAACTCATGCAGCACTATTTTCTAACATTTTGTTTTCCCTTAACCTCCAATATTCTTTGGAAAACATTTACAATATATATATATATATATATATATATATATATATATATATATATATATATATATATATATATATATATATATATAATGTAATATATCGGAGGTTAAAGCAAAAACAAAATAGAAATTTCAGCATATTGCAGTTTGAATGCCAATTAATCTTGTTCGAGCTGTAGATATATTTTACCAATTTTATTTGTGTTCTGGTAATTTATATCTCTAAAAATCTCATGTTTATTATCTTCTATCAATTATCTCTCTTTCCTTTTATGTATGTTTATTTTTTATCTCTATTTATGTTTACTTAATATGTCTTCAACAATAAAGAAACTTAAATTTTTTATTTTAAGGTCAAGAACAAAAAAATAGTCAAATAAAGAATATGATTTAAAAAATTGATTCAACTAATTGCTAATAGCTGTTTATTTTTAATTTCACTAACTTTCATTTAATTGTATAGTTCATCTATAAATTTATAAATTAAAAAAAAAATGTTTTATTAGAAAAACATACGTTGTGGTTAACCTAAAAATTAGGGTTACTCCTTAGAAATTAATTCCTAAAAAAAAAGTTTAAAGTTATAAATATGAGGTGTCTCATATTTCACCATTTAAATGTAAATATGTACCTACTTATTTAAATGAAAAATCAATATTGTAAGTACTTCAGTATTGTTATATATTCATACCTTCTAAGTGAAGGGAATTATTAGCATTATTTCATAAATACATGTCATTTTATTTATATTCATTTTTGATTATATTTTATATATTCATCCATTGACAATATTAAATAAATTTTAGGTAAAACAATGGAAACTATAGTTTTGAAATTGATTGATGTTAAATGATTTATTTGCTTTAACTGTATTTAAATGTACATAAATCTCTTAGCTTTAGATTTTTTTTTTTAAATAATTATTTATTTGGTTTTATCGTAGTGAATTATTTTACTTTAAAACAAGTTGTAGGCAATTTTATTTAATTGAGTTAAAATGTTGTCATCAAATAGAAGTTTTTGTAATCTTTTCCTTTCTGCATTCCTCTTTTCATAATACTAGTCTTGACAACCATGAAACAAAATTCCCTTTGGTGTCATTTTTTTTTTTTTCAGTATCTAATTCCAAGTAATTGTATAATGTCAGTGTCCCCTCTATCCTCCTATCATTTCCTCTCTGGCCAGTTAAACTTATTTGATCTATTTTTTGCTCTAATTTTACATTGCGGATTTTCAGGATCCAGTACAGAGCTATTGCATTATTTGGTAATTTTCATTTAACAGTAACTTTTTAATAGTCTGTGTCATCAGAAAAAAGCTTGAAGCACTTACCACTGAATAGGTCAAGCATTGAATATGGTTGGTGTAGAAATAGTTAAATTGAAAAGTCTTGAAGTTTTTTCACAGTCCATCTTAAAATGCTGAGAAAATCACTTACAAATAGGAGTATTGCCATGCATCAACATCCTAACAATAATGGAATAAAATAATACTTTTTTTTTCTACCAATGTTCACTAATCAGTATTAGAAAAAAGTAGTGTCCATAACGTTTATGCTTAGGCAAAGTTTATTTAATTGTTTAATGTTTTAATTTGTCAACCTTTCTAGCCAAACTGGTGTTTATTCAATGAGCTATGCCTAATAAAGAAAAGATTTGGGAAAAATAAATTAAGTATTTATAAGAATGAAGGATCTATCTTATTTTTTTTTAATCAGTACATTACTCATTGCTTTTTTAGTTTTATTGATTTTACAATGTTTGGTTCTAAATAGATGCAGAGTTGATTTATTTTGTTTTTAAATATTAGTCAAGATTGAAGCTACTTGCTTGCAAACAGTTTTAACTTTCTTATTTTTATTTCAAGAAAACATTAGTGGTGTATTTAATGGCTGCATGTTGGTTACCTCTGTCATTAAGTGTCAATTGAGCCGTCAATATCACTACATTTCTTATTTATTCCCCTGATGTTTGTAGCCATACCCTCCTTTTTCATTATTACGAGGTATAAGGAATGAAGAAATATTTGTTATAAAAAAAATTACCCCACCTTATTTTAGGTCCTTAAATAACCCTTTGATAAATTATCGCTTTTGTTCAAACTATTGACTAGCTTGCAAAATATGGATAAAAGATATTTTTGTAATTCTTTTCTGTTATTATATCTTCAATTATAGTTATATAATTATTTGTCAGATTGCATCGTTGTCGCCATATTTTTATAATTGTTTAATGTCAATATAGGCAGCAGATTTGTATCGTTGTATATCTAGTCTATTTAACTAGTCATTCTTTTTTTTTTTTATTGAGTAAATAATCCAGTTTATAGGAAATATAGTGAAATAGTATTAAAGTGTATAGAGCTTATTGGAACACTGCTTTTTTTCTACCTCCAATCTAGTCATTGTTATGAAGCAGTGTTGCCTTAATCAGTTGTTAATTTTTCATACTTGATGTAGATAATAGTGATGTGTGTTTATTCCTTAAATAATTAAACTAATTTAGTAATTCAAATATCAATTTGTTGAATTATCATTTTGTTTATTTTTATTTGATACTTTAATGCCCTTTGTAGTAGATGATTAATTAATGTGTTATAAACTAAATGTAATTTACATTGTGAATGTTCATAAATAATTGATTGCTTAAAAAGAACCAATTTTTTTAGGATATATACAATTTATAGATAATTGGTGGATATAATGAATTGGAAATATGCTATAAGAATAAAAATAAATAATAATAAGATAAAATGATTTTTTCATGTCAAAAAATTGTGTTCTCTAGTTTTTAGGAAAATAGTGAAAATCTTATTTAACAATGAACATGTTATAACATTAAGAACTAAATGTAAAAATAGTGTAGAAATGTTTTCAAAATACAGTTGAGTGTTATTCTATCACTAGGTTTTGAGACAATAATACTACTTACTCAGTTTTAAAAACGTTTATCACACTGATGGATATGATAATTTTGTTTCCTAAAAAAAAGCTTCCAATGTTTATTAGCTCTATTACAGTCCTGTAATGGATTTTTGAGAAAACATAAATGTTAAAAGAAGTGCATAAATTGAAACTACTGATTTTTTGTGTCATTAATTTTAATTATGGGAGTGTAATAGAATTGGTATATATATGAAATATACAGTAAAAGGAAGTATTACAATTGTGAAAAATTGAAATTCGAGTATTAAACGGAAATATACCTTTTGAGGTATCCTGATTCCAAATAACATAAATTGTCACATTTAGATTGGATTGATTATTTTATGAATGTATTGTAATTAAAATAAACAAATTAACTGAGTGGTATTCTGTCCCCACAATTATTGAGGGAAAAGTTTGTTCTAGGAATAAATACACATTATTTATAACTTTGTTAATAATTTTTATAATTAGAAATGATATCGAGTATATTAATTGTGAATTCAAAGTATTTCTCTTTTTTAAATATAGTTGAATTGTTTTGTAAATACTAATCAGACCAACTTTTAATTATATTAACAATGATATACATTTGTTTGTATATATATATAAGTGTATGTATATGTTTGATTATAGTTATCTACAAATAAAAACATATTTATAATATTTTCTGTGTTATTGATTTTCCAATGACTGTTTAGAATACAACCTTGCACCAATATCTAATTTTCAGAGTTAGTATTTGATAATTTAGATGAGATTGAATACTTCACAACCTTCATTTTTATTGAAGTCTGAACTACTGCTTTTAAATCAAACAATCGTTCAGTTATCTTTAACATTCTTCTGCAAACGTTCAGGTTGAATCTGACTGGCCTAACAATTGAATGCACATTTCTCGTCTTCTCCCTTCAATAAGGTCACAGAGCTCTAGGTACCCTTTTAGTAAGTCCTGATTAAGGCTTCGGCCAGCTAACATCAAATGAGGGGAGCGCCATCTTTGGTTGATTCAGCTTTCATGTTCACTTGACCACGTGTTGATGTGATCCAACGTTTATAATGGTGTTCCTAAGTTAGATTATTGTTTCAGACTTAAATTTTCTACAATAATGCCGTTCAGCAGTTGTTTTCACCATAATTGATAAACTGTGGAAGGAATTTAGGCAGTAACAAGATCAATCTGATGAGGAATTAGATGACAAAATCAATGAGATGTTGTGGTGTCAAATAGTGATGCAGATGAAGATTTATTTAGGGGCAGGATGGTGGAGGAGGCTAACGCATGTGCACAGCACCGTGCATTGTCGTGAGATGCGAAGGCTAGTGCTCCTGTCGCAGTTTGTTCCTGTCGACTCCGAACTGAGTCTTGCAGGTGATACACATGATAGAGGAAAATTAATTAAAAATGAAATTCATTTATTCTTGCAAACAACTTTTTATTCGAGCACAATACCAGGAAAATACGTTTTTTCCTCTGGACCTAGTTTTTATTCAGTTCCAATAGATCTGGATGCATTGCAACCTGCAGCAACTATAGTCTCCTTGCAGATTCTATGTTACATGGTGGGCCAGATCTCCCTACCATGAATCTCTCCCCCACATCACTATAAATTGTATATCCTTGTATTACTTGTAACTATTTATTAAAAAAAGCCAATGTTTCCACAAAAAAAAAATGAACGCACTGCCCCGAAATGGCGTCCAAACATGGCGGACTGACTACTTTGACTTTAGTTAGTTTTTTGGTCATTGAGAATCAATATTTGGCTTAATTTCGTCATAGTTGGTCTTTTATTAAAGCTGAATAGTCAGAGAATAAGATAACATGAAAACATATTTTAAAATAATTGGCTTAGGCAATAAAAAACACCAGTAAGGTCAATTTTTTTAACAAAAAAATGTTCAAGGTGAAAATCAAGCCTTGTTTGTAATTAAACGGCCTACAATAATGCAAAACGTGCTGAAATAAACCATCTAGAAAATATATTTCTCTTTCTAAAACACTGGTTATATTTTAAAATATTTGAACCAGTTTCTTAGACAATG